AATTAAATTTAGGTAGGTTATTTTAAGTATATGCTAAAAAATGGTTTATCTAAACTTGTTTGGATATCATGATAATTTATCTAGAAAAGAATCAAGATAAAGATTCGCAATATCTATATTGTAGTGAAACTTTACCCAATCCATTACCATTAAAAGTTTCTGAATATTTAAATGATATTGCAGCAAAAAAAAGCAAGTATTATTATATAAGATCATACAAAATTTATTTCTTGGTTTTATAATCTGATTTAGTTTAATGCGAGTATTTTTTTAATTTTAATAAAATTAAAATCTCGGATTATCGATTACTTTTTAAAAATTTATATTATGAAACCAGGAAATTAATTTTGAGAAAAATATAAATTTATACTTTTTTATTTATTATTAGAACCGGCACAGACTGCAGTTGAACAATACGAATTTTGTCGAGTTCATAGAGGAGAAGGAATAATTATTCCTTACGGGATTGAAAAAGGATATCCATTACATATAGATTTTACAATACTATCTAATCGGGTTAGAAGTTTGAAAAATGAGCTACTGAAAATTATAAAAGGACAACGGTACAGTGAATATCGTGTAGATGCAGTTAAAAGAATTCAAGAAATGGAAGTGTCAAAAGCCAATAGCTCATTACTACAAATTAACTATTTCGAGTCATCTCAAGTAAGTTAAAAATTAAAATATCGAATCTTAAATACTTTGATAAAAAGTCAATGTTAAATTTTTTATAAATTTAAATTTTATTTTTTAGCCCAGGTATTATGGAACCAAAGGTCTAGCCATTATCTTACAAACTTTGACTGAAATGTTTGTTCAACCTAAAATTTTAACCACGAATCTTTGCACACCACAATCGCCATCTCAATACTTGGCTCAAGTTCTGGTACCAGAAACTGCTATTAGACTTATTGCGGAGGACTTTAATAATATTTCTTTAGATATGGCAAAAAAAATTATAATTGATAGTATTGAATTTGGACTGTATGTTCATGATGATGATAATAACACTGAAAAATAATCAATATTTCAGTAAATAAATAATTATGAAATAAAACATTAAGCTTGATATAAAACTTCGTAACATATTACATTTGATTTAATTAAAGTGTATACAGGCACACCCTAAGTGCAAGTCTATGTAAAACCTCTCTAAATGCATGATACAGTTTGGCCCCAACTTATAAGAGCCTTAGATATTTTATCTTCCATAAGTGCAAACCCCATCTAAGTACATTTTTTTCACTATGGTCCCGATAGGATGCACTTAGGGAGGTGTGACTGTATTTATTAATAAATGCATCAAATTCTAGTTAAAAAAATTGTATTTAATCTGATGATCGAATCTTTTTCTTCCTAATACATTTGATAAATTGTCTTAGCAACAAATTGGCTAACAGATGATGTAAAAATCATAATTGCATATAAAGGCTTTGATTTTTATATTAAAATTTTACAAGATGGAAATGCAAAAAACGTTATTGGACAAAAATATATTTGTCTATTACAACCTATATTTATTTGAATTCAACTTAAGTGAATTCTAAATCCACAATAATTCTATTCCGAAGTACATTAATAAATTAAAATTTTAAACATCCAAAATTCTAATACTTTAATATTCTAATAATTTAGACAATTTATTGTTTTGGTGATTTTTATCTCAATAACACCTTATTTTAATACTTGGATATGATGTTGACCACCATATATAGTATTCGAGGTCTTATTCAAGAACACTATCTTAATTAAATATATTAAAAAATAATAAATTAATATAGCTATATCTCCGGGTGATATATAAGAATTAGGATCATGATGATTATAGTATATGT